CCTTTTACAACAAATAGATATTGATCAACAAAAAGGATACCATCAAAGAAAAAGCTGCAACAACAATGGATTTCCCGGGATACTGTAGCCTTCATCACTGAAGATTCTTAGTTGCAAACTGCACTATGAAAATTGCTAAACCCCTCTACATGTATTTCCCGACGGAGAGAGAGTGAACTTAAATGGTATGAATGAAGAAACCCGCTGAGTAATGCCGAAACCAGTCTTATGTGATTGATTATCTAATAATGAGACTAAGTGACCTTTCGGGAAAAGCATAGTTGAACACCTCCAATATGAGTGTGAGTCGTCAGAGAGAGATATCACTCGTTTTTAGTGATCATTAACTTGTTCTGCTGCCAGAACAACCAAACACCCAAGTGAAGTGTGAGCTATACCTATGAGCGTTCATCTGAATCGACCTGTTAAACCACTTGTCGTCATTAATAATGCTATAAAATCTTAAGAAATTTCTTTAGATACATATATGGCTACCCTTTGATAACCGAACCCGAGACTTTGATTCGGAAACAAATTTCTGAAAATCTTTTACATAAGATATGTTAAACCAAGTCACAAACTTTCAAATCAATTGCTATGGTTTTATATATATCTTATCTATTGACAAATCTTTTATCTCGAATCTTCAAAAGTTAAACTGTCAATATGATTATATCATACCTGTCCTTATTTCAGCAATGATCACATAGGGGGAAATTGTTGAAAAATGTTCTTATGTAACCTTGTATGTGACCATAACTGAAATAAGATGAACTGTTTTTATACAATCTAACAAATATTATCAGTTATTTCAGGTTGCATGAATGCGTGATAAAACGGAAAATACGAAAACACGCGAATGACGAAAACACATATGTGTGACTAAACAATTTCAACAATATATATATATATATATATATATATGTACTATATACATATGTATGTATTATATATATATATATGTTGTATATATGTTGAATAGTCAAACAAAGAAGAAGTCAACAAAAGTCAAAGATGAAGAAGCCAAACCCTTCCCACGTTTTTTTGCTCCTACTACTACATCAACTTGCAGCCTCTACATCATCTTTCAACTTACACTCAAGTGCACTACTACAAGATATTTGTTTCTCATATATATACATGTGTATGTAGTGTGTGTTTAGTGTTGGAGATAATAGAAGAGAGTAAGAGAGATAGATATGATATAGTGAGTTTTCCTTTGTAAAACTAAACCCTCTCAATCTTCATCCCTGGAGCTAAATGAAGAACACCAAGATCAAACAAGAAGCTAAGTGAAGAACACCAAGATCATCAACAATGAAATGAAGAACACCATCAACCATCTTCATCTTCTTCATTGAAACTAAAGGTTTTTCATCTTCACCACCTTTGATCATCACATCATACACCACCAAACACTTTCCTTACATCAAAACACCAAAACACAACCATGAAACAACCCAAAACCTTCTGCATCAAGATCAACCACAAAACCCATCACTATTCATCATCATCTTCATAAGAAATTTCACCACCTTTACCACCTTATATCAACCTCCTTCCAACCTCTAAACAACCTTGAAAACATCCTCAAAACACCATAACACCATTACCCTAGCCAAAACATCACAAACAAAACTTACCTTCAAATCACAAAAATCCCGAAATTGACTCTGACACGAACACGCCCCGTGTTAAAAACCAAGGCAAAATCAACACGCCCCGTGTTGCCCTCTGATTGCCTTCTTCATACTTCTGAACCTCAACACGCCCCGTGTTCAGCAAGGCTAAATCAACACGCCCCGTGTCAGCATCAGCATCATGAACACGCCCCGTGTCAGCATCATTCATCAAGAAAACCCTCCAAAACCCTCCTACACGACCCGTGTCACTTGTGCCTTATCTTACACGACCCGTGTGCATGTTTTTACCCAAAAATACTCAAATACAAATACATAAACCCATGTATTTTGTACCCTTTTGTAAACACTTGTTTTACATAAAATCGAGCTTTAAATGAACTTTTTGTTACTTATCCAATGCCGGATTGATCTTTGAACAAATATCGACCAGTCGCTCCAAGAGTCCCAATATCGACCAGTCCATTCAAAGAACAAATATCGACCAGTCGCTCCATGAGTCCAGTTCAGTCAATTTATTGACGAACCTACTTGATATATATTTATATATTTATATACTTTATTATAGCTTTATGTCATTTAAATATAGTCATTTATATTATTTATAGCTTTATGTCATTTAAATTCAATCATTTATATTATTTATAGCTTTACGTCATTTAAATACAGTCATTTATATTATTATAGCTTTCAGTCATTTACAACTTTCATATTTATACTTATTCCGCAATTATTATTCTTTATATATATATATATATATATATATATATATATATATTATATCTTAAACTGATATATCTGTCATACAGTAACTGGTAACCGAGCCTTTTGTTGTGGTGATCAGATTGTTATATTTCCAACAAATCGGTATCTGAGCTGATATATTAAAGGAATAATATCCAACAGTTTGTAATCAACATTTAATACCATTTTCATGTATATGTCATATTGTAACAATATAGTATACAACCACACTATTATCCAGCTTAATTAGATCTAAGCATCCTTTATACGTCTTAGTTTAGAAAATACACTAAACTATAATCCTTATAATCAACTTCCAATACAAGTTTATTTAGACAACACTATCCTAATTTAGTGTATATTAACACCGAGTATTAGGTATTTAATATACATTAATCTTTTAAGTAATAATACTTCCATTAAGATTATCATATATATGATTAACACATATATAACCACATCTAGTTCTCAAAGTGTTTATATAATATTATCAATTATACAATTAACACATATTCCATATAATAAGAATTTAATTCACATATAAACTTGCAACAAATAATTAATACGTTTAATAACTACTTGTATTAAAATCATCTTCATGGAAGTACTATTCACTCACTTGATTGAGGTGTAAGAACCATTGTAAAGCTAACTCCTCGACTAACACTTTAGCTTATCCTTTTTAAACAACCTAAATACAACTATACCTATGTCTCGATATTCATCCGTATTTGTTCGTCATCCTTTTATACTAAATAAATCTTCAAAGGAGAATCAATTAGAACACAAAAAACCACACAAACAATTTGCTAGAGAGAGACGAGTATATGGAGAAGAGCTCTAAGCTTTTCTACCAAAAGAAAAGAAAGAATTAAACTTGAAAGTGTCTCCTCTCTTCCTTTTATACTTATGCACTTAAATGAGCCTATGCTTTCAGTAATTTAGTTCAAGTCTTGCAAGAAACATCTAAGTGTAAGAAGAAGTCAGATGAAGCAACCAACGATACCCCATATGGGTATGGACGCTTCTTACTTATCTCCCTACCCATATGGAATGATAACAACTATCTTAAAATATTATTAAATTTATCAAAATATGACATTTGTCATCATTTCACATGGTAGTAATATAAATAAAAAGAAAATATACATCCGAATAAATTATAAAAAATAACCACTATTTTGTAAAATTGACATTATGAATATTTTTATTCCAAATGAATATATGGTAAAAGAGCTATTTTTTTTTATAAAAGAACCCAATTTGTAAAATAACTATTGTAAAATCATACTTTTTGTGTGTGTGTGTATATATATATATATATATATATATATATATATATATATATATATATATATATATATATATATATATATATATATATATATATATATATATATATATTGTAAAAGATATCACAAGACTTTTTTTTGAATTTTTATTTATAAAAAATCGCAGCTTTTTATAAAAATTCGCTGAAAAAAATATAATTTTTTTTTTGTAAAAAAAAAGTTTTTTTTTTTTTTTTTTTCAAGTTTTTTTCAGCGATTTTCTTTAAAAATCTGCGATTTTTTATTAAAAAATGTTAGAAAAGAGTTTTGTGATATCTATAATTTGGTATTTGTATTTTATTTTAGACTGTACAAATATATATTTTGGTTAGATATTCAATCAGATGCATGCTCCAAAAGACGTAATATAATGGTCGTATATTTTCTATTTCAACATTTTTTTTGAATCCGTCCAACTTTTTTAAATGGGCATAAATCATTCATATGAAGTTGATTTTTTTTTTTTCCAATATGTAATTTGGTTTTTGTAACTAATTTTAAATTATGCAAACATATATTTTGGTTAGATATTAAATTAATTATAGACTCTCGAAAAAAGCATATAAAAGCTGTGTATTTCCTATTTCAACATTTTGTTTTTGTTTTTCTTTTGTTTTTCGTATTTTTTTTTTGAAATATGTTCGTTTTTTAAAATGCGCATAACTCATTAATATAAGATCAAAATTACTTGATTGTTTTACAACATGTAAACTAGTATTTGTACTTCATTTTAAAGTCTACAAAGTCATATTTTGGTTAAGCATTAAATCATCTTATAGGTTCCCAAAGACATCATATCATCTACAACATATCAACAAGTTTTAGTTTGAAAAATATCCGAAAAACCAATATTGGAATCGGCACTGGCACTGTCACCGTCACCGACAGTCCAGTTCGCGGTTCATAATATAACAAATTCAGTTTCAGTTCCGAACCGGTCCGGTTCTAAAGCACATCCTGATGCTACAACATTAAAACATTATTTTACATAATCGACGAAAAAAGCAAGCCGTAACTTTAATTTTCATTTGGGTAATTAAAATTTTCTGGACTTATAATTGTTAACCAGATATTTAATTAATTTACACAACAGATCAAATATTTTTCAATCAAAATGAGCCAGTAAAAATAAGTATAGTTGGGATATATGGGTTCATGAGAAGGACAATAACACTAAACTCCTCCAACTACACAACTGGAAAGCCACAAAATATCCCACCCAAACCCAACACCCTCACTCTCTAGTCTCCACCTTTCGCTCTTCACCCCTTTTCTCTCCTAAAACATGGATGACTCTGCAACTCCCCTACCGTCATCAATCTGGGCTTCCCTCAACAGCTGGTTCACTTCCACTGTCTTCTTCGTCCTCCTAAACGTCATGATTGCCACCATTGTCTTCACCTCTAACTTACCCAACAACAATCAACAAAATCGTCATCAACAAGACCCAGAACAAGAACAAAAACACAATTCTCAGAACCACCCAAATGACCGGAATCAACCCCAAATCGTCAGATCTTCCTCCATCCTCTACCGTCTCAAGTCCTTCAACTTCCTACCGCAGAGATCCCAACAAGATTTTTCGCCGGAGGACGACCACCACCAAGAACCTTTACAAGTAGCAGCTACACAGTATGTATTCAATCAACCTATCGACTATCAACATTTCGATTACGATTTGGATTCAACCAGATCCGATCATATTCCGACCGGCAACGCCAACGTCGCCGCTCAGTTTTCTGCTTTCAATCAAACCCATGAAGCATCAATCCCTTATTCGGAGACCCATGTCGTATGGGAACATCAACAAACCGTAGAAACAAGGACGGGTCATTTCGATTTCGACCCGACCCACGATGAGATCCGGAGCGATACGGGCTTTGAAGATGCCCATGAAGATGAACACGCTGATGAGTTACAGAGCTTGGATGAGGTGTACAGTAAACTGAAAGGTGGGCATGACAGAACCAAGTCCGAAAGCGACCTCACATCGAAGCCACCGGCGAAAATGAAGAAATCAGCAAGTCTGAAAGTGGGTTTCGCGCATCTCGAGGAGGAAGAGATCGTGGAGTCTCGCCGGCCGGTAACCGTGAGAGAGAGAAAGTCTGCGGCTAGGGTGATGGAAGAGGATGACGTCGAAGTCGATACAAAGGCCGATAACTTCATCAACAAGTTCAAGAACGATCTGAAGTTGCAGAGGATCGAGTCGATTATCCGGACAAAGGGCGCGACAGGTAGAGGGGCTACCAAGTAAATTACTTAAATTGCTGGGTGTTTTCTGTAACAATATCAGAACCCCAAGTATCATTTTAAAAATTACACGTGGTGATGTTGATTTTATAAAGCTGCACATATGGATGTTATAGCCATTTTATAGGTCAAAAGGGCATTTTGGTTATTCTCGTGAATGTGGAGATGGTTTATTGGGTTTTGGGTAATCGAAAACTATTTACTAGAAAGCCCTTGGTTGGTGTAACTTGCATTTATACATAAAGGGTTGGAAACTTGGAATAGGTGTTGGTTGGGTTCATATGAGTGTCTGGCACTACACGTGGTGATGCCGATTCTAATCCTCAATACTCGCCACTAGTACACTTTTTGTACTTTAAAGGGTAAAATAGTAAAATTTCACCGACATTTCGTAGGGAATACTGGAAAAACGGGTTAAAAAATGATCAAGTGAATTACACCTTGTTTAAGCAAACATTATTTTGATACAACTTGAATCAAACTAAAAGGGTTACAAATGATCATGTGCATTTATATATTTTGAAAACTCCCTGTTTAAGCTAACATTATTTCGATATAACTTGATTCAAATTAATGGTTAATGTTATAAAATAACAATCGATATTATTTAATTTGTGTTTAGATCACTTATATTTTAATGAAAAAGTTACAAATTTAATTATTTACATAATGGCCTCTCATGTCTTAGCCAATAATTAACTTCAGGGGTGGTTCAACCAATTTAGGAGCTTTAATTGAACAAAAAAATAAGATCCTTCAGTTTTATAACTTAAACCAAATCCCAAACTATTTTTTAATGCATCTAAGCTAATCACTTATATAAACATAAAGGTTGCTGAAGTTTTGAACTCCAAACCGATGTACGACTCAAAGGCAGAGTTAATGTTAATATGAAGCAAAAGGATGGTCGAGCTTACATAAGAGATGAGAGTTTGCTGAGTTTCATCCAGTGATGTGGGATATGTTTAAGTATCTTCAAAAATAAAATGAATGATATGTAAGCAAATAAATTCAAACCTAAGACCCTAAATTTGATAAACCAATGCCTTTACCATCATGACAAGCTCCAACTTGTCTTTGTAACCCAAGAAATATGTATATATACAGATATAATTAATAGAATAAGTTTTAAAATTTGGGATCCTTTAGAATTAGGGGATCTAAGCCCTTGCTTAGTTTTGCAAAAGATAGAACCGATCTTGATTAACCTAATATAAAAAATAGCCATCATCAAAATCACATATGATTAATTAAAACCATTTGCCATTTTATCCTTTCCACCTAAGGATGAACAAAAAGACTCCTCACACCGGTCTTGGAAAAAGACCGATGCCGAACCATACCTAAAAAAAACTTGTCCTGTCTCATATAGGTTTGTAAAAGGAAAGGTCGGTTTGAGACTGGAAAATATAGGTTCGTAAAAAGAAAAAAGATAAGATTGTTTGGGACTGTTCGAAAAAAGAAAGGACTGTTTGAGGCGGTTCGAAAAAATATTGGACTGTTTCAAGATGGATTTGACCGGTCTAAAAAAAAGAACGGAACCCAAGTTTATGTATATATTATTTTTGTGTTACTTCAATATTTTTTTAATCAGAGATGAGTTAGGGCCTTCCGTTTTTTTATTTTGTTGAATTATAGTATCATTTTAAGTAAACCTTATTGTATTATTTTGATGTTAGCCGCACATTTGTTAACGGAAAAACTCGAAATAGAAACCAAAAAACAAACAAACCACGAAACTGAATCGGAAAAATATGCACAAAGACCACAATATTGAAAAAGACAAAGATCAGTCCCAAAAGGACCGGACCAATAAAAAAGACCGGTTCCAGACCGGGTCGAAAAAAAGATCGGATCCTTTCTAGACCAATCCCAAAAAGAATGCACAATTTTGAGATCGATAGGAGACCAATTTGGGACCGCTAATGTGCATATCTATAGTCTCTTCTACGATTTCAGTTGGTGGGTTGTGATTTCAACTTATTTTTTGCCCAATGTTCTATAGATATAGAAAGCCTTGAAATACCGAAATCGTAGATGGCATAGAGCCACCTACGATTTCCTCATACTTAACTTGTGATTTCACATTTGTTTTTTCTGCAATATAATTTGACCACAATTTCGTATAATTTGATAATTATTTCGTACATGTTAGCTACAATTTATATAAAATGTAGAGCATGTGTTCTATGGTCCATAATTTAGTGTTTTTCAATTAAATTTGAATTAAAAATAGGAGTTTTGGTAGATATTTTGTTTGTGATTGTATGCAAGGTTTCGATTTTTAGAATAAATTTTCATTTTTAATTTAGAATAAACATCATCTTTCGTAAAGCTATAATCAAGTCAAAACCATTTGTTTATCCAATCGAATATCAGAGTTATAAAGGAAAACATTGTGAAATCTCAAATCATAAAGCTGCTGGTGTGTGTATGTACATTCACGCATTCACCTTCCTACGATCTAACGAAGTACCTGAAAAAAAAATTACACTTATGGTGTTTTCCCACATATTTTCCCTACGATGTAGTGGCTGCAGTCGGTGTCATGGTCGGACTGATGGTATATGGACTCACAGTTTCTTGTCTCTTGATGGGAGCTTGCTTGGAAGTACCCTTGAATATGCTTCCAGGTTTGTACTTGTTTTCCCTTGACGTTGGGATGTCGGTCTTTTGGACCGAAGTGCCTCATCATATTTCTTGTTTTTTTAAGTTGTAAGCTAAACTTTTGGCATTATCATATGTCGATGGTCTAGAGATCGTGGCCAACCCTTGAATGGGTTGAACCAATCCCTATATGTACTTTTCAACTTTCTTGTACTCAGGTTTCACAAGGTTTGGGCAAAGGGTAGTGAGGTCGTTGAATATGTTGCTATAGGTCAAGATGTTAGTGTCGCTCAGAGTCAAGTTCCATAATTATTGATCTAATTGTTTCATTTCTTCCTAAGGGCAATAATCCATATTGAACATTTGCTTCAGTTCTTTGCAAGTTAGCGTGTAATCACTTGCGAGAACCATGGTGTTCACGTAGCATTCCACCAAGATATAGTCGCGTCTACAAAAGTGCAAGCTGCGAACTTAACCTTGCTTCTCTCGATACAAGAGTTTATCTCGAAGACAGACTTAGCCTTCTCGATCCATCTAGTGAGGCCTACAACTCCCTTATTCTCATAGAACATCCTAGGCTTACAGTTCATAAAGTCCTTATAGATGCATGCTCTTTGTGCAACTTTCTTATTTCCTTTGGAGCCTTCACCTCCCGTTCCAGAGTTTGTGTGATGATCATTCTCATGTGCAGCTAGTGCCTCGGTTATTCTTTGCTCGACCATGGCCTCAATAGTTGTATATTCTCGAGGTAAGTTACCTTGTGCGGACTGAGCATACTGCTCATCGTGAAGACCTTGGCTAGATCTGGTAATTCTTAGGGGGTTCAATTTCTAGATTCCTAAAGTTAGTGTAGAGATGTGAGTTAATTTGTCAGAATTTGTAAGTTTGTGTCATCATGGTTAGTTCTTGGTGTGTTAGTGTTAATGTTAATGGAAACAATAATACCACAACACATATTTCATGTAATTAGGTAAGTATAATATGCATCATATAACATACCGAAGTTATCAAAACACGGGACGGTTAGAATATGAAAAGCTCTAAGGTTACAAAAAACGTGTGTATGAGCTTTTCCCCATACTCTAACCCTAAGAAAAAGTATCAGTATCCCTCCTATCCATCATGCTATGGAAAAACAAAAGAAAACTAGAATCGACAGTTCACTACCAAGAGTGCCATCAATTGAACCAACTGTCTATACACAAGCTCTAACCAAACATCAAAAAGAGAAACTCGTGACTCCATCATCTCCACCTAGAGCTCCAGTCGTTCTGTGTGGATGATCATATCCTCTAACACCTGATGATGGAACTGGGCCCCATCCCTAACCTCTTACAGTTGGTCTTGTATGAGTAAGGTCCTTTTTTCAATCACATCCCTCTCCTCCTCCAAGTACTGCACCCGCTCCATGAGCTGTATAAGGGTCATCCTCAATAAGAAGAGCTCAGAGTCCATCAATCGAATATGATTTGAGTGATGGGTAGTACGTTGTACCAAAAGAGTTATAACCTACTCGACATGAGTATCCACGTGTATTAGAAGACTCCCTCACCTCAAACCGTAAGTTGATATCATCTTCTTAGATCCAGGCTCATACCTGAGGTATCCAAGTGGTATTTCCATAGGGTTTGTTTGTTGGTTGTGGTGATATTGGTGGGGATGCCTCTCTCTTCCGAGAGGGAGTGACTTTACTCTTCCTTGGGGTCTGCTTCCCCTGAGTACCTATTTATGTCCTATAAGATCGATGCGAAGGAGTGAGTTAGGTTGGTGAGGCCTCCGGTGAGGTAGCAATGTCCTCCCTATCCTCGTTAGGCTCGTACTCGGAACTGATAAGCTCTAACCCAGCTGATGTGTAGTCTGGTGATAGGGATGTCTCTAATGGGTGCTTAGCCAGAGTATAATTGGGCTCTTCATCAGTATCCTCAATCTCTGGGGTATTGATAGGGTCCGAGTCATCAAGTATGACACGCTCTTCCTTCGATGAGGAAGCTACGCTCCACGATCCATCACCTTCCAAGCTCTCGACAAACCTGTATAAGTCGTCATAGAGGAAAGATGTTTATTAGAGGTGTGAAGACTAACTAGCTACTATATAGTATCCACTTATAAGTATCTAATAGATAGTATCGGTAACCCCTGAGTCCCCTATTATTTCGTAATTCAGTGGTTCCCAAGGTAGAAAATCCCCAAGTATAGATGTCGCTAAGTTGGAAATCTCCAGACATAGAAGTCTCTAAAAGAAGCCTCTAAGTATAGACTCCTTGTCTATGATCCAGTCTAGAATTCCTCAAGCATTTAGATTTCCAAACACCACATCCAAGTTTGGTCGTTCTTCGATCGATCCATAATAAAACGTAGTTGCACATTCTAGGTATGGTTGTGGTACAACCGTTGTACTATATTAACTCTAAATATGGTTTTTTACCTAAAATCCTAAGTTGCGACTTAATGGATTCGTGATGGTGGATATCAGGTATAGTGGTTATGAAATCCAGCAAACCAAGTGATAATTCAAACTAGTCTCATATCCCATAAGTAGACAAGAAGTAGTGTAATTAATTTTAATGCTTTTATTTGGCTTAAAGGTTAAACCTAATCAGAGTGTAGCCCTAGATTATAGTTGTATTTTAAGGATTCACTAGTTAATTATAATCTGAAGCTCTGATACCAATCTGTCACACCCTCGGATGGTGGCTGAAGCACCACGATGTGCGATGTTAGGATGTTTGGATTTAGGCCAAAGATATACATTGAGTAATACATTAGATATATTAAATAATATTTTTATTTATTCACTGATTAATACAAAATTGTTCGAGGTACATGTAGGTCACGGAAGCAAAGTAAAAAAGTAAAGCACATAGACTCCAGGCTGCATCACTGGGGTTATCTCCTCCTTCAAATGGGTTCATTCTCCCGAGAATACATGTGATTTAAGAGATCAATGTAATGTCAGTGAGTCCATAGGTTTATGATTTTAAAGTGTTGTGTGGGTATTTTCGTTTATATTCTTTATCCTAAACTTGCATCCTCAAGCTTGTGTGTACTATCACTACTTTCTTAGGTTGGATCCTAGTAGTAGTCTAAGATAGTCAGTTTTAGTTCAACAAAGTTACCTTGAGTTCCTATAATCGAGTTATGACCGTTGATCCCAAAAACCACGAAGCTTCATCGGATGTTGCAAAGTTGTTTAGAAAGTAATGCCTGCTTCGACTTGCTGTCAGGTTATAGTTAGCAACCACAAGTGGGAGTGTCAGTGTCATATAGATCTATACATATCTCTCCCGATCACTTAAGATCTAACGATTTTAGGCTGGGACCTAGCTAGAAATCTATCAAAGTGTTGATGACTCGTGTCTCATCTAACTCTTGTTGTGGGGGCCTCCCCTGGTTGGTCATGTTGTTATTCACATTGTACTTATACAGGTATACTTATTATATATATATATATATATATATATATATATATATATATATATATATATATATATATATATATATATATATATGTAGGGGTTAATAGATTACGTCATGGGCTCGGTCCTTAGCCCAATTTTGATTGCCGGTATTGGGCCTGTCCAACCGTGCATGTTTTGTACTAGGGTTTGGTATATAAGCTACATGCATGCAGTCTTAGCAACAATCGATTTCATTATTTTATTTACTCTAAGTTTTGTAAACCCTAGCTCGCCTCTACAGCGGAAGTTCTTTTGTCGAGCTCTGCTGAGGCGTGACTTTGTTTTGAATCATAAGCATACATTGGATTCCATCCAGTGTTTACATACATACTGTTTTTGATTTGTTCGATCTCTATCATCAAAGATCTAATCGATCTAGAGTTTTTGTTCTCATCAATTGGTATCAGAGCAGGAGACTGTGTGATTCATACACATCTCTTCTGTCGAAGAAATTATTAGCATTTTAATTCCGCATTGAGTGATATTAATTGAGCCGTCATTCCATATTGACGTATCTCATTAATTGTTGATCTAACCCTAATGATATATGTCACACCCCAAAACCAAGAACGACAAAAACGTTCAGGGGTGGAGGACGTCATGTATAGTATCACAACAATGCAAAGTAGTAAACAAGCAACAACATCATCCATTGCATTAAAAGTAAATATTTAATACATGTGTGTTCTTTAAAAGTAATAAGACACTAGAATATGAAATCACAATAAAAGACGAGTCTTGTCTGTGCTCCGTCTTCTCAAAACCTGACCATCGTACCTGCTACTAGTGACCTGTCTACTAGTGATGCATAAAGCTGGTGAATTCATAAGTATTTAAGTGTCACTGTCTTGTTTTGGAAAGCTGTTATGAATTCCATGTAAATCTTTGAATGAAACAATTTATATAAGTATGAAAAACCCTAGAAAATCCCATATTTCCTATCCGTATAAGAGAAGTCTTCTACCAAGACCCGAATGTTTTGAAAGTAGTCTTCAACCAAGACCTGTATGTTTTGAAAGTAGTCTTCTACCAAGACCTGTATGTTTTGCTGTAACAAAGATGGTTTTCCCCTTTATGACTACTATTGACAATATATAGTCTACCTCCTCATTTATGTGAATGTAACACAAAATAAAAGTAATAGGGAAAATATAACCATAAAATTATTATCCTTTTGCATTAGGATAAACACGACATCGCGACTGCCGAAATGTATAACCTTGAACATCCGTAGATTGTTCATTTTCCTCTGTAGCTAGCAGCAGGTTTAAGGAATGGTTAGTCCCATAAAGGTACTCCTAATATAAGTATTAACCGTAGGCATCCATAGATGTTCATTACCTCTGTTGCTAACAGGTGGGTTCCGGAATGGTTAGTCCCATCAAGTTATCCTTTTGAACTAGGATAGGCAGAACAATTTACACATAATGTACTAGTAACTCATCATAGTGAATCTAGGTACAACGATCCATGAAAGTGTACACAAATAAATGTATATATGTAAATGTATTCATGTAAGCATATCAATGTAGACATATTCATGTAACATGTAATGTATAGTATAGACTCATGAATGAACTGACTCTAGTGTAATTCCTTTTAATAGGAATAATGTTTTGTATCTCCTAACTATCCCTATAATAGTTAACTGGAAGGTAATTGATTGTCCAAGTAGGTTTATACACCCTTGCTACACAAGAGTGTGGGAAACTAAATGAAGGATGAAAGCTATCATATCAATACATATATAAGAACATAAGTGTATAGATCTAGTTTTGTTCAAGAAGATGAAAATGGTTTTGTAAGACATTTAAGAGTTTTGAAAAATAATTAACAATGACTTGATGTCATTTTAATAAACATTTCAAAAGTAATACATTTGATAACAAAGTATTTTTAAGATAGAAAACCATTTCATACATCACATTTTGAAGCATGTGAAATCAGTTGGATGAAAACACAGTTATAAATCACATGTGATTGATTCTATAGCATGCTGTTTTCTACTTGTATCCCCCACATTAAAGCATTTAAAATCATTTAAAACATTGATTAAGGGGTATGAACTCACCTGTAGATGGTGGTTTGGATGAATTGAATGATGTAGGATAGCTAGGTGACAAGTGAAGACTTGTTCACACCCAATGATCTTAGTTAACATATAATCACACATATATGTATCCAATTAGACTTTAAACCACTAATTGACAAGTTTAAGACATCCTAAGGCATGTAAAACACCTTATATAAGTGCTACAAGTCATAAGGATTGCACCTAAGTGCTAAAGGACCTTGCTATTTTATTTGGGGTTCAAGGGTAAACTCCTTTGGAGTTTATGATTTTCATGACCTTGACCTAATGAGTTTACGGTTGTAAAATCAAGAGTTTACGGTCGTAAACTCCTCACTTTTTGACCATAAGTTGTTTTGAGGTTTTGCAAGTCCTTTGTAGCATTTCTACTTGATGGTTAGGCCTTTGGAAGAGATTAGGGCAACATCATACTCCTTTGAGGAGTTTACGGCCCCAAGGCCATTTCTTTTTGGGTTTACTACCTTAAATCCATATGGAAAGTGGTATTTTCATGTTTTCAAGTCCTTAGCTCAACAAGGAATGGAACTATGTTAGTTACTAAGCCATAGGAATGAAATAAGGGCCACTTTTTCTCACTTTGGGGTGTTTACGGTTTTGGGAGCTTCCCAAACTGTAAACACATATAAATGAGGGATTCATGTGCTTTTCGTATGCTAAACACCTCAAGGAAGGATCTAGACAAGTCCCTAAGGCATTGTGAAGGATTAAGTCACCTTCAGGCACCATAAGGCACCTTAATTGGTGTTTATGGTTTTGGGAGCCTCCCAAAACCGTGAACAACTTGTTCTTGGTGTTCTTGGGTCATTTCCTTGATGTAAAGATGTATAACAAGCTTATTAAGACTCTAGGATAGAGGTACTTACTATATGGAAGCTTGAAATGAGGTAAAAGTCCAAGAACACTAGTGTGTGTTCTTGGTGTTTTGGAAATCTAATCAAAACATGAAAATTGATGGATTAAAAGATGTATTATCACTAGTTGTTATGATCTAACAACAAATCAAGCCAAGAAGTACTTACGTTTTCGGGAAATTGGGCGAAAACCAGGATGATACTTGAGAGTGTTTGGTGTTTACTGTTTAGGTTGAAAGTTAGAAATGGAGTATTTTGGGGAGTAAACTCATGATTAAGCATGAGTTTATAGTTTTTGGAGTAATTTGAGGCCCAAACATAAAAGTTTGGCCGTGAACTTCTAAGTCACGTGGTATTCGCAGTTTTGAAATTTCAAGACTCAAGACGGCACATCCTTTCACCCGTTTGTTTAAAGAATAATTATTATAATAGTCAAACGAACTTTAAATTTGTTAAAAACAAATAGAAATGAAATTGACTTATAATATGAAGTGATTGACCTTTAGGGTTTGACCAAATGAAAATTTTGGGTTGTCACATCATCCCGCCATTAAAGGGAATTTCGTCCCGAAATTAAAGTCTAAGCAAATAAAGTATTTACAAATAACTAAGTAAAAAGATGAGGATAATTCAGTTTCATCTGATCCTCTCGCTCCCAAGTGAATTCAGGTCCCTGTTTGGCGTTCCAGCGAACCTTCACTATTGGGATACGACTTTGTTTCGTTTGCTTGACCTCTCGGTCCATGATCTCTACTGGTTCCTCCACGAAGTTGACGCTCTCGTTGATCTCGATCTCGTCGAGTGGAATTACAAGAGTCTCGTCGGACAGACACTTTTTCAAGTTCGATACATGGAAGATGGAATGTATGTTACTGAGTTCGTGCGGTATATTGAGTTTGTAAGTTACTGGGCCGATTCGGGCAAGAATCTCGAAAGGCCCTATGTATTTTCGATTGAGCTTCCTACGCTTTCCGAAGCGTATCAAGCCCTTACAGGGTGTGACCTTCAGTAGAACACGGTCGCCCACCTGGAATTCCAATGGTTTACTTCGCTTGTTAGCGTAGCTTTTCTGTCAGTCTCTAGATGCTTTCTGTAGCAACCCGAAATTCCGTACCACTTCTTGTAACTCTTTTCGTAGTTCAATTCAAGCAACCAATCGTCATTTTAAAATCCGATTCCGATTTCGCTGTTTAATTAAGTCATTAATTTGTATCGATCTAAAATGACTTAATGGGTGTCCTAATATATTTAGAAATTATTCTAACACCCCATTCTAGTAATCGGAACATTTCTAAAATCGACCATATCGGGTTACGGCAACTTAATCGGGTACGACCAAAAGCCTCGCCTAACGCCGGTATCGGGTAGAATTTCACCGTGTCGAAAACTTAGACACTATATAAAGTGTTCTAAGCCTTCATTTGAAGCTTTTGGCTTCATCTCACTACTCTCTCTCTAACCTCTCTCCTCACTCTAGATTAAGGTCCAAAATCAAAGATTTAAGGCTCCAA